AAACATCCCAATTTTGAGGCCTGAGCCATATTTTAGAGCCAAATTCAGGCTCTTTGCACGTATTCGCAGTTTGAAGTTACGACTTTTTATACCCAACATATGCCAAGTACTGAAAGCAGCATTTGGTCACATTTGTCCCAAACCTCCCTGCAGTTTTCAAAATATCCCAAACATCCCAATTTCGATGACTGAGCCATATTTTGGATCCAAATTCTGGCTCTCTGTACTTATTCGAAGTTTGAAATTACGACTTTTTATACCCAACATATGCCAAGTACTGAATGCGGCAATGAGTCACATTTTGAACAAACTCCCCTGCTTTTTTCAAAATATCCCAAACATTCCAATTTCGAGGCCTGAGCCATATTTTGGAGCCAAATTCAGGCTCTCTGCACGTATTCGTAGTTTGAAATTACGACTTTTTATACCCAACATATGCGAAGTCTTGAAAGCGGCAGTGAGTCACATTTTGCACAAACTCCCCTGCAGTTTTCGAAATATCCCAAATATCCCAATTTCGAGGCGTCAGCAATATTTTGGAGCCAAATTCTGGCTCTCTGCACGTATTCGCAGTTTGAAATTGCGACTTTTTTCTACCCAACATATATAAAGTAGTGAAAGCAGCTTTTGGACACATTTGTCCCAATCCCCCCTGCAGTTTTCAAAATAACCAAAACATCCCAATTTCGAGACCTGAGCCATATTTTGGAGCCAAATTCAGGCTCTCTGCACGTATTCGCAGTTTGAAATTACGACTTTTTATACGGAACATATGCCAAGTACTGAAAGCGGCTCTGGGTCATATATGTCCCAATCCCACTGCAGTTTTCAAAATATCCCAAACATCCCAATTACGGGGCCTGAACCAAATTCTGGCTCTATGCACGTATACGCAGTTTGAAATTACGACTTTTTATACCCAACATATACCAAGTACTGAAAGCGGCATTTGGTCACATTTGTCCTAAACCTCCCTCCAGTTTTCAAAATATCCCAAACATCCCAATTTCGAGGCCTGAGCCATATTTTGGAGCCAAATTCTGGCTCTATGCACGTATTCGCAGTTTGATATTACGACTTTTTATACCCAACATATGCCAAGTCCTGAAAGCGGCAGTAAATCACATTTTCCACAAACTCCCCTGCAGTTTTCGAAATATCCCAAATATCCCAATTTCGAGGCCTGAGCCATATTTTGGAGCCTAATTCTGGCTCTCTGCACGTAATCGCAGTTTGAAATTACGACTTTTTATACCCAACATATGCCATGCCTGAAAGCCAGTGAGTTTTGCACAAACTCCCCTGCAGTTTTCAAAATATCCCATCCCAATTCTGAGGCTCTCTGCACGTATTCGCAGTTTGAAATTACGACTTTTTATACCCAACATATGCCAAGTACTGAAAGCGGCGTTTGGTCACATTTGTCACAAACCTCCCCTGCAGTTTTCAAAATATCCCAAATATCCCAATTTCGAGGCCTGAGCCATATTTTGGAGCCAAATTCTGGCTCTCTGCACGTATTCGCAGTTTGAAATTACGACTTTTTATACCCAAAACTGAAAGCGGCGTTTGGTATGCCAAGTACTGGGCCATAAGCCAAATTGTGGCTGCATGTATTCGCAGTCACTTTTTTATTATGTACTATAAGCGGCGTTAGGTAAATTTGTCCCAAACTCCCTGCAGTTTTCAAAATATCCCAAACTTCCCAATTTCGAGGCCAGAGCCATATTTTAGAGCCAAATTCTAGCTCTCTGCACGTATTCGCAGTTTGATATTACGACTTTTTATACCCAACATATGCCAAGTCCTGAAAGCGGCAGAGTCACAATTTGCACAAACTCCCCTGCAGTTTCGAAATATTCCAAATATCCCAATTTCGAGGCCTGAACCAAATTTTGGAGCCAAATTCTGGCTCTCTGCACGTATTCGCAGTTTGAAATTGTGACTTTTTATACCCAACATATGCCAAGTACTGAAAGCGGCGTTTGGTCACATTTGTCCCAATCCCCTTTGCAGTTTTCAAAATATCCCAAACATCTCAATTTCGAGGCCTGAGCCATATTTTGGAGCCAAATTCTGGCTCTCTGCACGTATTCGCAGTTTGAAATTACGACTTATTATACCCAACATTTGCCAAGTACTGAAAGCGCCAATACGTCACATTTTGCACAACCTCCCCTGCAGTTTTCAAAATATCCAAAACATCCTAATTTCGAGGCCTGAGCCATATTTTGGAGCCAAATTCACGCTCTCTGCACGTATTCGCAGTTTGAAATTACGACTTTTTATACCCAACATATGCCAAGTACTGAAAGCGGCATTTGGTCACATTTGTCCCAAACCTCCCTGCAGTTTTCAAAATATCCCAAATATCCCAATTTCGAGGCCTGAGCCATATTTTGGAGCCAAATTCTGGCTCTCTGCACGTATTCGCAGTTTGATATTACGACTTTTTACACCCAACATATGCCAAGTACTGAAAGCGGCAATAAGTACAATTTTACACAAACTCCCCTGCAGTTTACAAAATATCCAAAACATCCCAATTTCGAGGCCTGAGCCATATTTTGGAGCCAAATTCAGGCTCTCTGCGCGTATTCGCACTTTGAAATTACGGCTTATTATACCCAACATATGCCAAGTACTGAAAGCGGCAATAAGTCACATTTTACACAACCTCCCCTGCAGTTTTCAAAATATCCAAAACATCCCAATTTTGAGGCCTGAGCCATATTTTAGAGCCAAATTCAGGCTCTTTGCACGTATTCGCAGTTTGAAGTTACGACTTTTTATACCCAACATATGCCAAGTACTGAAAGCAGCATTTGGTCACATTTGTCCCAAACCTCCCTGCAGTTTTCAAAATATCCCAAACATCCCAATTTCGATGACTGAGCCATATTTTGGATCCAAATTCTGGCTCTCTGTACTTATTCGAAGTTTGAAATTACGACTTTTTATACCCAACATATGCCAAGTACTGAATGCGGCAATGAGTCACATTTTGAACAAACTCCCCTGCTTTTTTCAAAATATCCCACACATTCCAATTTCGAGGCCTGAGCCATATTTTGGAGCCAAATTCAGGCTCTCTGCACGTATTCGTAGTTTGAAATTACGACTTTTTATAGCCAACATATGCGAAGTCTTGAAAGCAGCAGTGAGTCACATTTTGCACAAACTCCCCTGCAGTTTTCGAAATATCCCAAATATCCCAATTTCGAGGCGTCAGTAATATTTTGTAGCCAAATTCTGGCTCTCTGCACGTATTCGCAGTTTGAAATTGCTACTTTTTTCTACCCAACATATATAAAGTAGTGAAAGCAGCTTTTGGACACATTTGTCCCAATCCCCCCTGCAGTTTTCAAAATCACCAAAACATCCCAATTTCGAGACCTGAGCCATATTTTGGAGCCAAATTCAGGCTCTCTGCACGTATTCGCAGTTTGAAATTACTACTTTTTATACGGAACATATGCCAAGTACTGAAAGCGGCTCTGGGTCATATATGTCCCAATCCCACTGCAGTTTTCAAAATATCCCAAACATCCCAATTACGAGGCCTGAACCAAATTCTGGCTCTATGCACGTATACGCAGTTTGAAATTACGACTTTTTATACCCAACATATACCAAGTACTGAAAGCGGCATTTGGTCACATTTGTCCTAAACCTCCCTCCAGTTTTCAAAATATCCCAAACATCCCAATTTCGAGGCCTGAGCCATATTTTGGAGCCAAATTCTGGCTCTATGCACGTATTCGCAGTTTGATATTACGACTTTTTATACCCAACATATGCCAAGTCCTGAAAGCGGCAGTAAATCACATTTTCCACAAACTCCCCTGCAGTTTTCGAAATATCCCAAATATCCCAATTTCGAAGCCTGAGCCATATTTTGGAGCCAAATTCTGGCTCTCTGCACGTATTCGCAGTTTGAAATTACGACTTATTATACGCAACATATGCCAAGTACTGAAAGCGGTAATGAGTCACATTTTGCACAAACTCCCCTGCAGTTTTCAAAATATCCCAAACTTCCCAATTTCGAGACCTGAGCCATATTTTCGAGCCAAATTCTTGCTCTCTGCACGTATTCGCAGTTTGAAATTACGACTTTTTTATAACCAACATATGCAAAGTACTGAAAGCGGCGTTTGGTCATATTTGTCCCAAACCCCTCTTACAGTTTTCAAAATATCCCAAACATCCCAATTTCGAGGCCTGAGCCATATTTTGGAGCCAAATTTTGGCTCTCAGCACGTATTCGCAGTTTGATATTATGAATTTTAATACCCAACATATGCCATGTCCTGAAAGCGGCAGTGAGTCAGAATTTGCACAAACTCCCCTGCAGTTTTCAAAATATCCCAAACATCCCAATTTCGAGGCCTGAGCCATATTTTGGAGCCAAACTCTGGCTCTCTGCACGTATTTGCAGTTTGAAATTACGACTTTTTATACCTAACATATGCCAAGTACTGAAAGCGGCGTTTGGTCACATTTGTCCCAAACCTCCCTGCAGTTTTTAAAATATCCCAAATATCCCAATTTCGAGGCCTGAGCCATATTTTGGAGACAAATTCTGGCTTTATGCACGTATTCTCAGTTTGAAATTACGACTTTTTATACCCAACATATGGCAAGTCCTGAAAGCGGCAGTGAGTCACATTTTGCCCAAACTCCCCTGCAGTTTTCGAAATATCACAAATATCCCAATTTCGAGGCCTGAGCAATATTTTGGAGCCAAATTCTGGCTATCTGCACGTATTCACTGTTTGATATTACGAATTTTTATTCCCAACATATGCCAAGTACTGAAAGCGGCGTTTGGTCACATTTGTCCCAAACCTCCCTGCAGTTTTCAAAATATCCCAAACATCCTAATTTCGAGGCCTGAGCCATATTTTGGAGCCAAATTCTAGCTCTCTGCATGTATTCGCAGTTTGAAATTACAACTTTTCATACCCAACATATGCCAAGTACTGAAAGCTACAGCCAAGTTGGGAAAAAAACTGCCTTGCATCACCTTGTTGCTCAAACAAGGTAAACTGCCCAGAACACCAATATATTTATAATCTAGTAACAAGTAAATTTGTAGTCAAGACACAGATGGTGCCAAGAACCTTATTAAACATTCCAAAACACTGAAAAAGCTCGTTTCAATAAAATTAGAGAAACTACTCTAAAACACCACAATATCACTATTTACAATAAGTGACTTCAACTAACCCAGAGTTTTTAATAAAATTTAATTTCAATACATTGCAACAGCCATTTCAGATAATGCGTCTCCACCTGTCAAGAGAAAATAAATACATATTAGTATACTTTGTTACTATTAAGCTTACAAATTATGAACTTTGGTACTTTAATATTCATAAAGTGCTCTCAGTATAACAAGTCGCATTAGAAAGTTTATGAAACTTACAATAACATTTGCACACCAAACCAATAGATACAAATTAAAATAATTACATAATAAATTTGACCATGCAAGGGAAAGTTTCAAGAATCTAGTAACATTGCACTGATCAATGTCACATTTACCATTAATCTCACCCCTTGGTCTGACATTTAACATCTGACGGCCATTATGGTGTGTGCAACGAACATTTTAACAACCATTTAATTTTTATTATGCAACATACTAGCTAAAAAAATTACTGAACTACCAGTAAGGACAAGTTATGAACTGCCTTAGCTACCTCATCCCTTGTTGGATTTTACCTCAATAAATTTATTTCAATGAATTGATTTTCCTCAGCCAATGGATCACCTAAGACTTGTGTACTTCATTGACAATAGAGTATGATTACTACAGAGACTATTGAGCCTGTATATCGAGTAGAGATTAATCATTACAGTGGCCAGTTTTCCATAAGTAAAATAAGATTACCTCTTAAAATAACAGCAGCCTACAGCTTGGGGGTTACATCAAGAAGAGCAATTTGAACGTTTGTCTTTACTACTCCAACAGGTATGGCCACAATCAACTTTCTGGAAATATTCACTCAAATTTTTAACAAAATTGTGGACCATAATTATTAAACTGCAGTACCACATTCATTGTGCATCAATGTTAATTGATAATTATACAATTTAGTAGAATCAATTTTGTTGTCTATGCCAAGATACTAGATTATAAACCTAATCATTGTCATGCCCTTTAAGACTGACAATACGTTAATGCTAAATTACAATAGGCACAACTTACAACCTTTAAAGTATTTTGACAAGGAAATATCTATGGGTTTGACAACTCTCCCAAGGGAGATACAAGCCTATGCTACACTTTAATTTCATTTTCTTTTAAATAAAAGTTATATTACCTAATTATTTACAACTTTCCAAGACCGAAGCTGGAAGATTCACCTCATGCTGTCAATCTTAGGAAACAGGTGCAAAGACTCGCAATATAAAAAGTAGCATTGGCATAATTAATAAAACTACATTTCACAATAGTAAAGACTGACTGACTACACAAATCTCCCTGGAACTACCAAACTGATTAATTTTATCTAAATTTAATGGAACAATTGCCTACTTTTGTAAGTACACTTTGCTCTGGTTATTTTTTGGTATCTAAAGTAGGATTCGGTCACCATTTCCATTAAATATTTAAAGTGTTGGTTCCCCCAAAATTATATAAACAAGGCTATCATGCAAATTTACTTTGCAAATTAAGCTCCTAATATAGGAGCTCCAGCAACTCTGGATACATGGATTTTTTTAAAGCTTTCCAAACCTACCACACTACTGGTAAGTTAAAGCACATTTAATAACTTACAATGGATAAAAATCAATAGTTTAAAAATAGTGAAAAGGTCTTACAATTTACTAAACGTCGCAGAAACATATATTCTATTTTTTGGGCTGACTTAAGGATGTTAATTCATGTTAAAGTGAAGGGTATAAAGCCCATACAAAAATGGTCATCAACACATGTAATTTGAAGACAAGCTAATTTAAAACTAAAGCTTAACATGTGCAGCATAATATAAATGCTAAAAATATTACCTTGCCGTAGATCACGAGGAGGACTAAGTCACAATCACCAATCAAAATTGCACGAGTGGTAGCTTCAGTGAGAACAACCAACACCCTGAAAATAAAAGTTTACACTTTAGAAAGCAGTTATACAACACTCATTCGCCCAACTAATCATACCAAGGCATGGACACTTTACCGATTTTATCTGCTTTAGAGGATATTTAATACCAGCCAATAAGTCATTCTTTATGAAACTGCTATTAATAAAAACGGTACATTGCAAGTCAGACAGGATGGTACCAATTTCTTCACACTGAAAATCTATAAGTTTGCAAAACTGTCAAGAACAATAAGTTAAGTGCAACATTAAAATGGTTTAAAGTGAGACTACAATGCAGAACAAAACTAGAGATGCTTATCCCCCACCCACAGTTACAATCCAATGGAACAGTCCCACTAAAGCCACGAGTGCCAAGCTTTGCTGCCGTTTAAGATAAAGCTTTACAAAATAAGGAAATGGAAAAGAGGGGGTACCCGAGAAACTGCCAAGGGGGGGAGGGGTCAGATTATCTGTACCTTTTACAGTTTAGTGTAGACTTTTCCTCCCCACAGGATCTGGGTCTTGTCCACTCCAACGTCGGCCAGAGTTGGTGCCGGCTGCTGTTTAGAATGGGTGCCATCTCATGTTATACATTACTTCAGGAAACTAGTGCCTCACTCTTCGCCATAGGGTACATCAGCTCAGGACATCACTAACATGTTAGGAGGCAGTCAAAGACTAGCCAGTCAACAACTTGGGCTGGAGAGCTGTAGCAGCCGAAACAATTTACCACCTGCAAATACAATTTAATTTAATTTAACACTTTCGCGCTATCCGGACTCATCGGCGCGTCCCGTTTCGTCTAACGTTAAAATCAGCTTTTCGAAAATCTGGCACTTTAACAGAATTTTCTCTTACAGGTCTATTCCATTCTATGCTAAATCTGACTTCTCTGATCACTGTTCCCTAGCTCACTCCCTATTTCGATGTCATTAATTTGTGTTTCCCTGTTAGTTAACACTAAATCTAAAATATTTTCCCGCGTTGGTTCCTTAATGTGTTGCGTAAGAAAACAATCTTCAATTAATTCTAGAAAATCTTCTGCTTCACTATTCCGTTTTGTTCAACCAGTTTATTCCACTAAAGTTAAAGTCACCTATGACAAATACTATTAGATCTAGATGCTCTAGATATTTCATTCCATAGATGCTTTGCTTCCATTCTGTCTAAATTTGGTGGCCTATATATAACTCCTATTATAATATTTGCTTTCTTTTAATTCTATCCAAATAGTTTCTGTGTGTGGCTCAGTTTTTATTCCCTCTTTGAGACTACATTTCAAGTTGTCCCCAACATACATGGCTACTCCCCCTCGTCTAATGTATCTGATATAGTTTAAATCCATTTATTTTATGTTCAGCTAATAGTCCTCCATTTTCTACATTCATCCATGTTTCGGCATGTGCAATATTCTTTTTTTCTGTGCAGACAAGAGCATTTAATTCGTTAATTTTATTTCTTAGACTTCTCAGTGTCACTCAAGCACTTAGATCTGGGTCATTGGCCTCCCAGGCAGCTGTTGTTGGCTGCATGTGGCACCGGCCTGGGGGGGGGGTGGAGGGAACGTATGTTTATTTATTTATTTTATTTATTTAAATACAAGAAGGTGCATTGGGTTGTGAGAGTACATAACATTGTTCTTACATTCTTGTAAAGCCACTAAGACGCATAGTGTTTCGGGCAGGTCCTTAAGCTAACATAAGGTAAGATTTTAATAGGTATATTGTAGCAAAATTTGAGTTCAACATAATAACTGATGGTACTGATTACTCTGGTGAAGTTGAATGTCGTAAGTACTAATACTGGGCGAGTGGGTAGCACAAGATACAGTGTGAGTGAAGCACAATGAGGTGAAACTATCAAACTGTGTGTGTGTGTGTGTGTGTGTGTGTGTGTGTGTGTGTGTGTGTGTGTGTGTGTGTGTGTGTGTGTGTGTGTGTGTGTGTGTGTGTGTGTGTGTGTGTGTGTGTGTGTGTGTGTACTAACCTAGTTGTACTTGCGGGGGTTGTGGTCCCGCCTCTCAACCGTCAATCTACTAGTGTACAGATTGCTGAGCTTCTCGAGCTCTATCATATCTACATTTGAAACTGTGTATGGAGTCAGCCTCCACCACATCACTTCCTAGTGCATTCCATTTACTAACTACTCTTTCACTGAAAAAGTTCTTTCTGATGTCTCTGTGGCTCATTTGGGTACTGAGCTTCCACCTGTGTCCCCTTGTGCGTGTGCCACCCGTGTTAAATAACCCATCCTTGTCTACCCTGTCAATTTCCTTGAGGACTTTGGTGTACTCACCTAATTGTGCTTGCGGGGGTTGAGCTTTGGCTGTTTGGTGTGTAAGCTGTGTGGTGACGGCGGTCACTTGGCCTGGCAGTGTAAGTTGTTTCTCCCACCTAATTACCAAGTGTGTACGGTACATGGCACAATACATACCACCTTGGTGGACGCAGGTGCTTCCGTGTCCATCCTGAGCCACAGTGTGTTAGGGTCAGATGTCAGGCTTATACCTAACAACAGGAGATTTACAGCGGTTGCATCCGCGCCCAGGATGCAACCCCACAACAAGCTGACCATCTCCTGAGTACCTATATTTACTGTTAGGTGAACAGGCGCATTCGGTGATAGGCACCCACCCATTTCGGTCCGGCAAAGGATTCGAACCCAGAATTCTCGAATGTGAGTCGAGAACGAACTCGACTGTACTACCGGGATCAGCCCGTCCTCCAAACAAAGACCCAAAAGTGATTCCATGCACCCGCCAAACCCCCTGTTTATGAATGAAAAACGGTTTACACACAACCCGTCCTCGACTCAAGTCCATTACATCCAGAGGTCGACCCCACAGACGCATTCATAAATTTTAACATGCTGTTCATTCAGAACAAGAATTTTCTCAAATATAAATTAATATTAAAATATATTAGCATATTGTGCATATATAGGCATAGGTTAGGTTAGGTTAGGTGTTTAGGTTCGGTTGGTGATTATTTGCATATGTAGTACGTGGGTGAAGCATTTATAGCGATGTGGTTCGAACAAAACTCGTCAGTAAAGCACTTGTTCCGGAAGTGTTCGAACGAAATCAGTTGTGAGTCGTGTGTAAACCGTTTTTCATTCATAAACAGGGGGTTTGGCGGGTGCATGGAATCACTTTTGGATCTTTGTTTGGAGGACGGGATGTAACACACGACTCACAACTGATTTCGTTCGAACACTTCCGGAACAAGTGCCTCACTGACGAATTTTGTTCGAACCACAACGCTGTAAATGCTTCACCCACGTACTACAAATACAAATAATCGCCAACAAAACCTAAACACCTAATCTAACCTATGCCTATATATACACAATCTGCTAATATATTATAATATTAATTTATATTTGATTAGATTCCCCATTTGAGTGAACAGCATGTACAAATTTATGAATGCGTCTGTGGGGTCGACCGCTGGATGTAATGGACTTGAGTAGAGGACGGGTTGGGATACTAGGTAATAGTGTATTCTCTTCCCCGGTGATGGGGGTACATTACCTGCAGCTTGTGTACCCCATTCCCCGGGCATACCATCTACCGGTACCCTGGTTCTGGTGGTACTCTGTTGTGCCCCTTGCAGGCGAGTACCGTGGTGGAGCAGGAGATAAACTGTGTCCACGTGTTCCTTGACTGTTGTAGCCTGCCCGCTGCCCACGGCTACTCTTGCGGGCAAGACTGCTTCCAGCTCTAGTTTTCAGCCACCACTGGTGCCCTAGAAGTACCCCCTGCCTGTGTCCCAGGTGGTGCCGGCTGGCTCCCATGACTGGCGACACTAGAGTTCACTGACATCTAGCGTCTCAGATGCCGTTGCCCAGTTTGCTTCCACACAGAGACCCATACATACTCATCCATGCTTATATAAACACTTCCGTTGCCGTACTCTGACGTCGTCCATTTGGTCCGGGAGACATCTCCCGTCACGCAGGGTGCAGTCGCACCTCCACAGTATCATCTATTGATACTGGTAATGGCTCAAAAGGGCCACCACTTACGAGCTATTTATGCCCGTGCCACCTTTTGGGTGGCTTCATCTTCATCTTAACACATTCACAAGGGAGACATCTCCCGTCACGCAGGGTGCACTCGCACCTCCACAGATCTCCAGTATCAGCTCTTGATACTGGTAATGGCTCAAAAGGGCCACCACTTACGGGCTATTTATGCCCGTGCCTCATCTTCATCTTAACACATTCATAAGGGAGACATCTCCCGTCATGCAGGGTGCATTCGCACCTCCACAGATCTCCAGTATCAGCTCTTGATACTGGTAATGGCTTAAAAGGGCCACCACTTACGGGCTATTCATGCCCGTGCCACCTTTTGGGTGGCTTAATCTTCATCAATCATCAATCAATCGTACTCTGAGAAATTATTCACATCTAAAATTTGGGTCACAACAAGGGTCATGTTGTGCGACATCATTACACGCAACGAGTACAGCAACTCAACAATGCTAGTAGACGGGGATATAAAGAACTAGACCACACTTCTCTATCCTCCACAGATCTCCAGTATCAAGAGTTGATACTGGTAATGGCTCAAAAGGGCCACCACTTACGGGTTATTCATGCTCGTGCCACCTTTTGGGTGGCTTAATCTTCATCAATCAATCACTTTTCCATAGTTACGGGCTATTAATGCCCGTGCCACCTCTTGGGTGGCTTAATCTTCATCAGTCTTTATCCCATTATGTGCCTCTGTAACCCTTTTTACTACCGCCCACAAGATGGGTATGGGGTGCATAATAAATGAACTAAACTTAAGAAAAACTATAGGTATAAGTCGAGACCCCTAATTCAACCTACGCTTGGGGGTCAAATCACCATACTTGAGGGTCAAATTAGCATACTCGAGGGGTACTGTGTTTAGATTAACATTTTAGTCTATAAACCCATTTAGTGGGTTACTAGGGCCAAGAATTGGCCATGAGGGTAAAGACGTCACGATCCCACTGGCGTCGAGTGCCC